GCTGAAATAAAAAAAACCTCGAAATAAAACGTCGATCGATACGAGAACGTAAAATCAAAACACTTAGGCCGCATATAGGATTCTCGTCTGGATTTATTTTTGCCCGTTTCTGTTTGTCTGTTTCCGCTAGAGAGTGTACGTGACGAGCAATTCGCCGTCACGTGACGCGTCCGCATCCGAGAATGTCACGCCACGTAACACGCGCCAATAGAAAAACGGGCGAGCGCGAACATGGCAGCGAATAAGCATTTCTTCACGGGCTTAGACCCGCACGTCTACTGGCGACCGAGCGTATGAAATTTAAATCATTAATGGGCGCGAGTTTTAAATACGAACACGCCATCACTGCCTCGCTCTCTCCGTTTCGCTGGACTGTATCCCTAGATGCCCGCACACGGTCTCGGCGCTGTCACGTGTTGCTAACAATTACTAAACGAGATCTCGCGTATATTAAGACGCCGATGTATAATTCAGGCGAATTGTTGCCGACCGCAATGTCAGCATATACTTTATTTATCCGTATTAATTCACGTTTGCTTAATGCGAGCGCGGTAAGCAGCACTATCATCTTTTAATAAATTATGTTGTTAGCGTTTAAATAAATCATATCTGCCGAACGCGCCGGGCCACTGTGTGATTTCGCTATACGCGTGCACATAAGACGTGCCGCACTAATGCATCGTCTGATGAGTCCCTTCTAAGCGAACAGTCCGATAGCTCGTGCGAATTTCATTATTAATACCTCGCAATCAAAAAGACCTCGAAAACGACACGCGCGGCTATCGGACAGATAAGTGGTGAGGAGCGTAGCTTTCCAATTCGGTCTTATTGTAGGTCAATTACACGAAGAAACGAACTAATTGCAAGCTCACCCCCCACCCCAACCCCACCCGCGCACCCGACCACTATAGTCTTCATTGTAACGACAAATTACATTAATCATTGAAGATAAAAATGGCAATCGCATTAACATTGATAATTTCGAATCGAATTTATTTGCCGACACGTGCCACCGTACACGTATATATACGCGCACAGACAGAGACACTCAAGCGCACGGGCTGTCTCGGATGTAAACCACGTGCGCTCGCACAGCCGTACTTACACTTACACTTACACTTACACTTACACGTATACACTCACGAAATCGGTTGTAAAACACACGATTACCGAACTATGCGAACACGTGCAAAGCGCGTCTCCTGAGAAGAACACGTTTCCCCGTGCATTGTCACATGCACAGAGACACGCAACGTTGTCTCCCATTAAGAAGACGTGTTTCCTCCATACGTTGTCCCATGCACAGAGACATGCGGAATTGTATTGTATTAAGATGATGCGTTTTCATCCTCTCTCTGACTCTTTCTCTCTCGCGCGCGCGTTCTCTCTCTCTCTCTCTCTCTCTCTCTCGCTCGCCCCTCCGCGGCGCGCACGACACCACCCTATAATCGATTGGCTCTCGAAATAGGCTTTCAATTCGGATGAAATTAAAGTCAATTTCAATCTAAAGAACGTTGGTTTCGCGTCGATTTGCTGCCAGCTGTGTGTGCGGCGCCTCGTATTTTGCTAATATCCTGTGCGCTCGGCCGCGGGCGATGCGGCGGCCATGTTTGCCGACCAAGCGCTTCGTCGCTGCCAGCATTATACGTTATCAAGCAAAACGCTCAGCCGCGGCCATCTCACGGACGGTGTTTGTATATCGACGGGTGCCCCCATACCAATCTGTCCACCCCCCCCCCCAACCTCGTAAACGCGATGCGAATAGTTAGGCTGGAAGTTATCGGAACGCATTGAGAGTTGTCGCGCGCATGCGTGAGTGGAGAACACGTGAGTGATGACACGCCCCCTCCGCTAGAGCGCGTGTAGGGAAACGCGCCAAAAAAGGTTGATGCTCAGGCTGCTCTCTACGAAAGAGCGTTCTCGCAGCGAATTTTAAAGATTGATTTTTTGTCAAATCGATGATCGACTTGTCGCTTGCTTACTGTATGCGCGCGTGCGTGCATTCGCGTGTGCGTGCATGTGCGCGTGTAGCTCGCTTAAGCGGTTAACAGCTTCGCGAATTGCGCGCATTACGATGCGGGGGCGCGCACACACACGCTCACGCACACACACGCACACACGCGCGCACACACGCTCACGCACACAAACGCACACACGCTCACGCACACACACGCACACACGCTCACGCACACACGCACTCACACGCCCCACGCGCGTATACGCGAAGGAATGAAGGAAGGAACCGCGTCGCCTCCTTGTCGTGATGCGATGTCAATCCCCGGTGTTCGTATCAATAACATAGTATGTGCTCGTACGCTGCGTTCCGCACGATAAACACCGTATGCGCACCTCGCGAAGCCAAGCCGCGGGATCGATGCTATATACACGCCGTCACGTGACCCTTGATAAGACGTGAGCTTATAGATAACGCTGGATGTGCCGACGATGAAGCTAACACCGGATGCATCTGCCTGAGAGATACGTGTATCAAAGAGTCGGAAGTAGAGTGAGAAAAAGAGCGCGCGCGAGAGAGAATGAGAGAGAGAGGGAATGAGAGAGGAAGCGAGAGAGAGCGAGAGAAAATGAGAGAGCGCGCGAGAGAGAATGAGAGAGAGAGAGAATAAGAGAAGGAGAGAGAATGAGAGAGAGGGAGAGAGAATGAAGAGAAGAAGTAGAGAGAGAGACGAGAGAGAGAGCAGAGAGAGAGAGGAGAGAGAGAGAGAGCAGAGAGAGAGATGAGTGAGAGAAGTGAAGAGTGAGAGCGACACTTACTGTAAGCACGAGCCGCGGGTGACGACGACCCAACCGCGGTGCAATCTACGGGGTCACAGGCGTCACGTTTCCCCACAAAAAGGAAAGACGAACATTTAACATAAAGCGACTGAAAAATGAGAAGAGAAAGAAGAGAGTTAAGTGAGAGGAATTGAGAAGCCGAGACCAGAGGAGAAGGAGGCATTACAGATGACATCTGGTTTGACCGTAAGGCATACGCTTAGTAATACCGCGGCCCACTCTTCTGCACACGATCTCCGATTCACTCATATGCCTTCATTCACCATCAACGCTTTCTCTCTTTTCCTCTTTCTTTCTCAAAAGTAATCTCTACAATATAACTTCTATGGAAGTCTGTCTTTCTCTCCCCAATAATCGTCTCTTAATTTCCTATTCATAACTCTCATCAAACTCATGTCTCTCCCGTCGCTCTCAGTTCGGTTCGCGCGTTCTGCATTGCCATCAGGTATATTCATCGCAGTCACTCTCGAATCATACGAAGCTTTCTTCTCATCCTCTCGATCCTCGCTTCGGACTTCCCCCGCACGTTTCTAACCCCTGTCTGCTGCATTCTCATTTATTCACTCGCTATTCACATATCTATTAGTTACCAGCACACGCGAATGCAATGCGACTGTCGCGCGCACAGGCGCTGCCGAAGCACTTGCCCTCCATCCTAATTAGCATCCTGTTCTGGCGATTTGCGAAAGGAATTTGCCGGTAATGACGCCCCTAGTGATTCCATACATCATTTTCGCATGGCTGGCATGACACTTAATGTGATAGATGCTAACATGCAAATTTCGTCTTGATGAAACTGTAGCGATTACTGGCGCACTTGACCTGAGTATTACGCCGATAGCGTTGGCGGAAAGTGGCCCACGGCGAAGCGTGCGCGACCTTCATCCGTCCCCAGCCTCAGCCGCCATCCCACGTATCCCATGGGCAATCACTCCTTAAGTACACACTCCACCAAAATACCCGTCCCCCCTCTCAGTTGAACTCACACCACAAATGCGCCCACACAACTCATAATCCCCCTCGCTATTTCCCACTCGCATAAACGCTCGTCGCACGCAGCGACCACAACACACCTACGCATAATAACACAAACACGTTACAACATCTGGCTAACCCGTCGTTCGCCTGCGCGAGGCGCGATGTTGCATGACGTGCTTGCGTTGCCTGCGAACGCGCAGTCTGCCTGCGTGCCTTAGATGCGCCGTCGATATGCTTGCTGGTTGATAAGGACGGTAGCTTGGTCACACTCTTACTGTGAGCGCGAAACACGTGAGCGACAATGGATGAAATCTCCGACTGGCGAACAAACAGGGAAATTAAATGGGTCCCGATCGACGTCGGTAGTTTGACGCGTCCGGCATCAGCGCCGCACAAGCCACTTTTTCGCGGCTGCCGGACCGCGACACACATGCAGAGGGAAACGCCGCGACTGCACCACTCTCCCGCTCTTATAGCGCGCCACGACTACGTGAATGTTTATTGCTGAGGTTGCCGCTATCCGCTCATCAATCTGTCAATCCGTTAATTGCTATCGCTGTAGTCGCTCGTGCGGAGAAAGGAAGAGTAGGAGTAAGAAATAAGAAAAAGGAGGAAAACGAGAAAAGAAGAGAAGAGGCATTGGAAAGGTAGAGTAGAGGACGAAGAAAAGGAGGGCAAGAAAGGGGAGAAGAGGAAGAAAAGGAACTGGAAGGGGCGAGAACAGAGGAAAATTATATGTGTATTGGCGGAGGAAAGTAGGCCGGAGGAGGGATGGGATGCCAGATTAGCCAGAAGAGAGGGCAGAAAAAAGCCACTATATTTTTAGGTTGTCATCACGGACCCTAATAACTGCGAAAACCAGAAGTAGAACTAGAGGGGAAAGGAGAAATAATACGTATAGGAAAACGAGCAAAACA